GTATACCCAACTGCTGCATACTTTTCAAATTTCCCCATCTTTGTCTCAATTAGTTAAACTTAATTTTCATTTGGTTATGAGTGTATTCTCTCCCTTCTTCTTTTTCAACTCATGCACCATGAATTTCCAAGAGGATCTAGTAAATATAGTTGTATGCCTATTTCCCTTTTTTACTTCTTCCTCCATCAAGTCTATGAAATAAAGCTCCACATTTTCAGACCAAAAAATATATCCTTGTGAAGGGGAAATCTCCACCACTTCGTTAACATCACGATTTTTACTTGACATCTATTACATTCACAACAACATGAAACCAAAAAGGCTATAATCAAATAAGAGAGTATAACTAGAGTCAAATAAAGCACAAGCCATACAAATAGAGCATAAGCAATTTTTTTAATTTGATTGAATGCATGTATATATAATTTGCACGCTAAAAAGACAACAATTGAAATTAGACCATATTGGATATAAATTCTAAAAGTTATTGAAAAAAAATTAAATCCTAGAAACAGCAGCTACCCAGTTACATATTTTATCCAAGTAAGAATCTCATTCTGGGTTTTCTCTTTCATGTAATTCAAGGAACATTATACATGAAATTTCGATATGGCATGTTTACTCTAAAATTAACAACAAAATACATAAATTATAATTCTATGACCAAATATTAGAGCGATAGAATGAAACATCATATGTAACTTCTAAAATTACAAAGAAATCTTTTCAAAAAAAAAATACAAAGAAAAAGAATCCTATGTTCCAAAAAAACAATAACCATAACTGCATGAAAAATAGTTAATCTCCATCTGGGTTTTCTTGTTTCCGTAATTCGTAAGAAATACAGTAAAATTTCATGTTGATATGTTTACTCTCGAATTAAACACATACACAAGTGGCAACTCTAGAACCAAAACATAAGAATTATTCCTCTACAAACTCAAACAAATTATTGACCAAAAACTGTACAGACAAATCCACAAACAAAACCCACTTAGAAAAACTCAAACAATCTACATGAACATAGACGATTATCAAAAATTCAAACCCATCAAGTGAAAAAGTAAAACCTTTTATGAAGTGTACAGTATATTGTTTATTGAAAAGATAAAAAAAATTACCTCCCAAATTTTTAGGGGAAGAACAGTATATTTATCGGTGGTTGTGCGACGGGTCAGGTCGGCGATTTCGGTGTGGCGACGATTGTGTTAGGGTTGAGGGAGAGAAAAGGGGGATCGGTGGCTGGGCGACGGGTCAGGGGCGGCGATCGCCGATCGGAGTTTGGGCGACGGGTTGGGGGTGATGATTTTGGAGTGGAGGCGATGGTGTTAGGGTTGAGGGAGAGAAAGATGATCGGGTTGGTTTGGGGGATAAATAAGCCATGAGAATCTCAAAACACCTAAAAGGTGTTTTGAGATAAGCGTTAGATTTTTGGGTTTTGTATATGGTTAGCTCAAAAAACACTCTAGTTGGCAAACATCTTTCATTGATTTTTTGAAAAAAAGAACCAGAAACAGAAAAAACACTCCAGTTGCCAAACGCTCCCTTAGTTAGTGAGTGAAAATGCACTAACCGCAATAAAACAATACTTTTTAATATATTTGCTCAAAATTTGTGAAACGGGCAGCTCAGTGCACGAGGACCATGGTAGGCTTTGGGGAGGTCAAATGCATGCAACCTTATCCCCGCTTTGCGTAGAGGCTATTTTCGAGATTCGAACCCGTGATCTCCGGGTCACAAGGCAACAACTTCACCATTGGTCAACATTTGTGAAATGGATACTCTCAATTCTACTTTGCATGATTTATCAAGCAAGCGTTAAAGAGAAAATCAAGATGCTAAACACATAATCCTTTGAGATGATTATTGCTTATTTTAATTTTAAATTGAGTAGGACTAATTATTATAGAGAAGTATACCTTTTTTGTACAATCGGAAATGGACTGCAACATAGAAGAGGTTGTATACGTAACTTAGCCCAAATAGGAAAAGGGAAAAAAGGAGGACGTGGCAGCAAGTGTAAATCGACATCCGCTTATAGCGACTGCCGATAGAGAGTCATCACGGTTTTTGCAAGATTAGAATCTACCTTGAACTTCTACATATATCCTAAGGTTAGCGAGATGGGGAGTTAATTGACTGACTAAAGTTTTAGGAAAATTTATTATGAAATAGAATTTACTAAACAAAGCACGATCAAAAAGGTTTACAAAGTTTAATATCGAACTCTAAAAAGAGAGAAAATAAAAAAAATTTATTTGCTAGCTCCAAACACATAAAGAGGTTTTTAAAAGATTTAGCAAATAAAGGGCCCTGAGAGCGAGCAAAAAAAAAATATAATGAAATATAAGTTTTGCTGGCCAAGGCATCATACTACACCTAAATTGGGCCTTAAAGAGAGCACGTCCATGGCTAAAATCAAAATAGGAGTAAGCCTTTGTAGTACCCAACTTGGGCCTTTTACTGAGCAGATCCACGGCTAATTTTATAGAGCAGGTCCGAGAAAATTGAAGTCCATCTAACTTTGAGATGTTTCGCGCAAAACTACCCTGAAACTTGTAAAATAGGAAAAAAAACTCATCTAAACTCAGTTTACCCGCAACTCATAAATTAGAAAAAACTCATCTAAGTTCATTTAAACACTGATTAGTTGAAAAAGAATGATTTGAACTAAACAAATTGGACAATTTCATTGCCTTCTTAACAGTAGACGTTAAAATGGTCAATTCATCTATAAATCAATAGTCTAGAAGGATATCATTTTTATTTGATAGTGCAAGAATTGTATTACAATTTGAATTTTACAAGTTTTTTTTGGGAAATTTTGTCAATGCCCCAAAAGCAATATCTTCATGTGCTGCAGCCACTTTACTTTTTTCCCATGTGGTCCAGCCCCAAAAAGTATCGCATCATGTGCTTCAGCTCTCTTTTAGCAATTATTCCCGCTAACTAAGCATAGAGAGATGATAAGAAGTACAAAACTCCAAAATGCCATTATCTACTCTATTCTTTCATGTTAGGTCTAATTAGAGTTTATGTTAGGTCTAAGTTCATGTTAGGTCTATTTAGAGTTCTGTTAAGTCTAATTTCAGTTCATGTTAAAGTCTAATAATAGTTCATGTTAATTCTAATTTCAGTTCATGTTATGTCTAATAATAGTTCATGTTAAGTCTAATTTTAGTTCACGTTATGTCTAAGAATAGTTCATGTTAAGTTTAATTTCAGATCATGTTATGTATAATAATAGTTCATGTTAAGTCTAATTTCAGATCATGTTATATATGTCTTATTTTAGTTCATATTACATCTAATAATAGTTCATGTTAAGTCTAATAATAGTTCATGTTAGGTCTTAGTTCATGTTAAGTCTAATAATAGTTCATGTTAGGTCTAATTTCATGTTAAGTCTAATAATAGTTCATGTTAGGTCTAATTTCTAATAATAGTTCATGTTAGGTCTAATTTCATGTTAAGTCTAATAATAGTTCATGTTAGGTCTAATTTCTAATTAGACTTAACATGAAGTAAATTAGACTTAAAAAGAATTTAACATGAAGTAAATTAGACCTAACATGAACTGTTATTAGACTTAACATGAACTGAATTTAAACTTAACACGAATCAAGTTGGACTTAACATGAAATTAGACCTAACATGAACTAAAATTAGACGTAAAATAATATTAGACTTAACATGACCTAATATGAACTATTATTAGACTTAACATGAAATTAGACCTAATATGAACTATTATTAGGCTTAACATGAACTATTATTAGACCTAACATGAACTAAAATTAGACTTAACATGAACTATTATTTGACCTAACATGAACTATTATTAGACCTAACATGAATTGAAATTAGACGTAACATGAACTATTATTAGACTTAACATGAACTAAAATTAGATCTAACATGAACTATTATTAGATCTAACATGAACTGAAATTAGACCTAACATGAACTATTATTAGACCTAACATGAACTGATATTAGACCTAACATGAACTAAAATTAAAATTAACATGAACTATTATTAGACATAACATGAACTGAAATTAGACTTAACATGACTTATTATTACACTTAACATGAACTAAAATTAGACCTAACTTGAACTATTATTAGACTTAACATGAACTAAAATTAGACCTAATATGAACTCTAAATAGACATAACATGAAATTAGACCTAACATGAACTTTAAATAGACCTAACATGAAAGAATAGAGGAGATAATGATATTTTTGGATTTTGTACTTTTTATGCTCTCTCTAAGCTTAGTTGGCGGGTAATATTGCTAAAAGATAGCTGTAGTACACGATGTGACACTTCTTGGGGCTGAACCACATTGGGAAAAAGTGAAAGAGCTGTAACACATGAAAATATTGTTTTCGGGGCATTGACACAATTTCCCCCTTTTTTTTATATATATAACACCCTCTTTACCACTAAGGAAGACATAACTAAGTGGCTAATCCTGTAATCAGGAGAAGAGTACATCACTAATGCCAAAGAAAGGCGGCAGAGCTATAAACAAATGGTCTAAAGACAAGGTGATTAGCTCTAAAGAAAAGTGAAGAGTAGAGTCGCTAGGCTCTCACAAAAGAGGAGGAGGACCAGAGCGACCGCCATCATTGCCCCCTCGACTCCAATTCCCATCATCCATTCCCACAATCGGCGCTGCCATGGGCCCCATCAGTCCTCCACTTGTATCACCCCGTACTGTTTTAATCACTTTGACTCGTGTATCTATAGATATTAAAGCGTGTGTATATATATATATATTGCAGGAATTGATTAAGTTTAACGGAACGAATCATCTATAATGTAGCTCAATCATGTGATATATATTGCAAGAATTTTTAAAAAAATAGTTGCTGGAAAGATTTCTTTCGTCATTTTTGTTTACGGAACGTTTCTTTCCGTGAACCCGGCAGTGATTTTGCAGTTGCACACAATTCGGTCGGCGTATTTCATATTCAGGGCTTGAGATTGTCACGTTGAATAGACGCAACAAATGTGATTAATTAGTGACGACATCGTTGATTCCAATCAGATTTTGAGATTTTAGTCCGAAGCCCTCAACGAAAGAAAGTCACGTGCAACTAAAAAATGTATTGTTTATCCTTCACCCAAATCCTCTTTTTTTAATGGTAAGCGGAAGATTTAACGTTTGGATTTTTCAAAATCTCTCGCATGCAAATAAATACTCGTAGACGTGATCCGCGAGACAAATCCTCAGTTCTAGAATGGTACAGGTGACATCGTGTACTCCAAAATGTAGACATAGGAATATTACCGTCTGTTCTCTGTTGAGTACAAATGACATAAAGTAAATGCTAGTGCATGGGGGCATTATGAGCGGTGGCCCACAAGCACTGAAGGTTTGCATGAACATCACCTGTTTGATGAAATGGCCCATCAGCTCACTCGCCAGCGCTACCATTCGTGAATCCCCCCCTCCTCATTTCTCTAGCGCCCTTGCTTCTGCTGTTCTTTTTTCTTTTGTCATCAATGGAGATCATCAGCGGGTTCGGCTCGCCTCAGTCGTCGAAGCAGCGGCTCGATGGCTGGTAAACGTTACTTGTTTAATAGCTGTGTATACAGTTGTTTATGTTCTTAAACTGGAAAGCTGGTTTTATAATTCAGTAACTTATTGATACTTCAACTCGTCGAGGATTTTCAGATTCCTGAATGTTTTTTTATGCTTAGGACATGAAACTAAATATGCTTACTTTATGTCGGTAAATTTTAGAAAAACCCTCTTGCGCTGTGTCAGAATTTGACAGGGAATCACTTTTTGATTGTGCACGGAAGAAAGCCATTTGTACCGTCTTAGGTCTGGAAGAAGCCTGTTTTTCTATCTTATATTCTGTAGAAAACAATCCTAGCTCTGAAGTAGGGGAGGGTTTCTAATTACTAAGCCTGAGCCAAATTAACAGAATGTTTCTTTTGATATTAAACCTTGATATTGTAGGTTGATACTTCATTTTACCTTGGTATAACTAACTTGCACCTACCCTTTATTGAAATCGTGTTGATTTTGAAATAAATTCTGTACCAAAATCTATACCCTTTATTGAAATTGTGTTGATTTTGAAATAAATACCGTACCAAAATCAAGATACTGGCATACTTTGTCCTTGATATTAACTCTTATTATGTGGTGTATTGAGTATATATGAAGACAAATAAAGGTTGTATAGAGTGGCAAGTGGATTCCACTTGAGCCAATCTGTTGGTACCCCTGGTCTTCGCTAACATGACTTTGCATCACTGTAGATTCTTGAAATTAGTAGTGCTTTCCATTATCAGGATGTTTCTAGCTCAAGAAAAAAAATCTGGTCATTCGTCAAGTTACGTTGCTTTCGATCAACTGCCATGATAATTCAGGTTTAAATATACTCTGGTTCCCATTAAAGATCAACTATAATTTGTAAGTTTCCCTGTGTTGGGGGCAGTGTCACGCCCTCACGTCACGGAAACGATATAACCCGATAGGAAACCCTGACTTTTGTTTTCACAAAAGCTCAAACCAACATCTATGTTCCTATTTCACGAAGGAAACAAGAACAGAAGTGAAATATCCCAACAAAGTGAGATATACAATCTTCCTCTCATCAGTTCTAGGACTGAATTGGGAACCTACAAGCAATAGCCAACACCCAGAAAACAGTAAAGACACGGGATTTACGTGGTTCGGCAAACTTACCTATGTCCACGGGAAGGGGAAGGGGAATTCCACTTTGAGGAGAGCACCGACGACTTATACAACCCACAAACTCGTTCCAAAGAAGAAGCTTTTAGTTTTACCCAAAAAAATTTGATATCTCTCTTGTAAAATCCCTCCAAGCTCTCTCTTTTTCTCTCCTCAAGATTTAAGATCTAGATCTCTTTTAGCCGTCGCCTAAACCCTCTATTTCCTCCTCTAAAAAAACCCTAGAAGAAAACTCCTATTTATAGGAAAAAATCCCAGACCAAAAAATCCAAACAGAAAACTCAACAGTAAAAAATCTCGCCAACTGGGGCTATCTCTCACGGGGCTGTCTCGTCCGGGGCCCCTTGTTTCCCGTTCATAATTCTCCACCTCGTACATCATTTGATAAACCTTAAATTTGGACGAACACCAGAAGAACATCGTGAATCATCAGAGAGATCTGAAATGCCAAACCAGGCTAAAACCAGGTCAAACCAGCTGCGCCACTATACCGCGACTGTTTACGTACCCTCCGTCGGGATCAACCTAACCGTACGTAGTTCTGCTATTATTCTCCATATAGTCTCCACCTCACCCCCATCACCTCCCTCTTGGGCAGTTCAACATGGGCTGATATGAAATAAGTCCAAGCAATGATTAAATTTGCTATTTGTCACCACCTTGATCAACATGTCTGATGGATTCTCATTCGTGTGCACCTTCATGAGAGAAATATCACATTCCTCTATGACATCCCGCACAAAATGGTACCTGACATCGATATGCTTGGTACGAGCATGATGAACTTGATTATTCGCCAAGTGAATCGCACTCTGATTGTCGCACCACAAGTTTACACTCTCATGCTCAATCCCCAAATCATCTAGAAGACCCACAACTACAATGCTTTCTTCACTCCCTCCATCATGATCATGTACTCGATCTCTATAGTAGAAAGTATCACTGTAGCATGTAACATTAATCGCTAACTAACTGAAGCCTCATGTATCCTGAATACATAACCAGTTGTAGATCACCATCTATATAGATCACCTGCATAATCTAAGTTCACAAACCCATCAATTTGACATGTATCCACCAAAATATAGATCCGTATCAACGGTACCCTTCAAGTATCTCAGGACCCACTTTACTGCTTCCCAATACACATTTTCCGGATTCATCATGAATCTACTGACGACACTGACCACCTGTAAAATATCTGGACGTGTACACACCATTGCGTACATCAAGCTGCTAACTGCACTAGCATAAGATACACACTTCATGTGTGTCTTCTCTTCCGCTATAGTGGGAGATTGTTTACCTGAAAGCCTGAAGTGTGGAGCCAATGGAGTCACCACCAATGTAGCACTTTGTATCCCGAACCTCGCGATCACCCGCTCTATGTAGCTATTCTGACTCAAGAACAATCCCCGATTCACTCGCTCTTTCCTAATCTTCATACCTAGTATTTTCCTTGTAGCGTCCATGTCCTTCATCTCGAACTCTTTACCAAGTTAAGATTTTATTCTATCTATCTCCACCCTGCTCTTCGAAGCAATAAACATGTCATCCACATACAAAAGGAGATAGATATAATCACCTCCACGAAGCTTCCGAATATAAACACAACAATCATAATCGTTTCGGGAAAATCCATGCTTCAGCATGAAGGAGTCAAATCGCTTGTACCACTGGCGAGGAGATTGCTTCAGTCCATAGAGTGATTTTTTCAAGCGACATACATGATACTCCTTATCCTCAACCTTGTAGCCCTTAGGTTGATGCATAGGTTGATGCATATAGATCTCTTCATCTAAGTCTCCGTACAAGAAGACCGTCTTTACATCGAGTTATTCCAGCTCAAGATCATCATGAGCAATAATACTCAATATCACCCGAATAGAAGTGTATTTTACTACCGGAGAAAATATCTCATTGTAATCCACACCCTCTTTTTATGCAAACCCTTTAGCCACTAGCCTCGTCTTATACCTTGTACCACCGAGCTCCGAAGGATCTTCTTTTCTCTTATACACCCACTTACAACCAATAGTTTTTTTCCTACAGACAATGATACCACCTCTCATATTTGGTTTTTTCAAAGAGATACCATCTACTCCTCCATCGTAGCCAACTAACTCTCACTATCTCTATCCCGAATAGTTTTTTGAAGGAGACCGGCTCATCATCATCCATCGAGAGTGCGTATTCCACCAAATTAACCTGTCCATAGTGCTTCAAAGGTTGATCAACCCTCAGCTTCAGTACCTACTTGTATGCTCATCTTGGCCTAGTGGAAGCCAAACTATTCTCGAGTTGTTGTTGTTGTAGTGCTTATGTATTCTCTTGCTGAACCTCCTCCTGCTCAAGCTCATCATCTACTTGATTTTTACTTGAACATTACTAGAACCTGGTTGGTTTTTAGGTTCTATCTCAATAACCTGGAACTTTGAAGTCCCAACAGTCCTAATACCATCATCCTTTGGCGCCTTAGCAAGCATGAATTTCTCATCAAATGCAATATCCCTGCTGATCACGAACTTTGAATTTTTTGAACACAAAAAACGATAACCTTTTACACCCTTTACATATCCTAAAAATATAGCTTTCTTGGCCCTCGCGTTAAGTTTTCCCTCGTTGACGTGATAATAGGCGGTACACTCAAAAATTCGGAGCCTCTCATAATCTGCATGCTCTCCTGACCACACCCTATAGGGTGTATCACCATCCAATGTAGAATATGGAGAACAGTTCACAATATAACAAGCTGTAGCCACCGCTTTTGCCCATCATTCCTTGCCTAATCCAACATAAGATTACATACTCATAGCTTTCTCCCGTAATATTCGGTTCAGCCTCACCGTGACCCCATTTTGTTATGGTATAGATCTGACTATCCAGTGTCTAGCAATGCCCTACTGATCACAGAACTCCTTAAAAACATCATCTGTATATTCTGTACCGTTGTCAGATCTTAGTGTCTTTAATTTTTTTCCTATCTTGTTTTCAATCATCGCCTTTCACTTCTTAAATGTCTCGAATACCTCATTATTATGCTTAAGAAAATAAATCTAAGCATACCTCGAATGATCATCTATGAATGAGACAAAATACTTGGAACCACCCTTGGAAGTTGTCTGAGCCGAACCTTATACATCTGTGTGTACATAGTCTAATATAGCTCTGCTTTTGTGATTGCTTTTCAAGAATTAGACCCTGTGCGCCTTCCCGTACACAAAATCCTCACAAAAATCCATACAAGGTTTTTTTAGCAAACCCTCCTTACCAAGCAGATCCAAACCCTTCTCTAACATGTGCCCAAGCCGTTTATGTCATAACCGTGTATGCTCACATGGGTCTCCACCACTTCCTTCAGTTCCAACCGCTGCATCTCCCATCATTATCGTACCTGAGAGAGTGTATAAATTACCGTGATGAACACCTTTCATCACTACTAGGGAACCTCGAACAATCTTTTTTACTCCATTCTCTGTAACAATCCTGCAACCACCGGAGTCTAATGCACCAACTGAGATAAGATTCTTTCACAAGTCGGGAACGTACCTCACATCCGTTAAGGTTCGGACCACTTCATCATGCATCTTGATCTTGATATTACCTAGTCCCACCGTTTTACAAGTATGGTTGTTCCCCATCAATACGGTTTTATCATTAATGTTTCTGTAGGTAGTAAATCATTTCTTATTTGGGCACATGTGGTAAGAGCAACCTGAATCAAGAATCCACTTTTCGGAGATATCATCGCCATCCGTGACGACATAGCATTCCTTCTCGCTCTCTTCCTCTAAAACATAGCTCGCTTCTTTCTTACCTTCTCTCCTCTCAGTCTTGTTGTTCTTCTTCCCACCTATTCTCTTATTTCGACAGTCGACCTTAAAATGTCTAACTTCACCGTATTTAAAACATGGTCTTCCCGTAAAAGGTCTTGATTTAGATCTAGACTTTTCTCCATTACCTTTTTCTCGCTCATTGCTCCTTCCTCTAGCAAACAATCCTTACGTTTGTTCTTTGCTATCACCAGTAGTCATGTCATTGGTTGTAATCTTTCGAAAAACATCCGCTAAAAGCGTCGTTCTAGTCTCATCCATCCTTAAATTGTCTCCCACAAGCATCAGTGTTTGTATCAGGTTCTCATAAGTCTTCGACAGAGATAGAAGTAGTAGAAGCGCCTGATCCTCGTCTTCAACTGTCACGTCTATGTCTTTTTAAGTCTGATATGATCCTATCAAACTTGTTAATGTATTCCCAGATTGATGAGCCATCCTCCATCTTGCAAATATACAATTTGGATTTTAAATAGATCCGGTTCGTTAGACTCTTCGTCATGAAGGTGTTTTCTAACTTCTACCAAACGTCCGTAGTCGTTTCCTCTCTATCTACCAAGAAAGCTACATCTCTTTCAAGACAAAGGATAATCAATGCCCGTACTTTTAAATCCAGTTACTCTCAATCCTCATCAGACATATCTTTATGCTTCTTCTTTTTTCTAGCTAAAGCCTTATGTAATTTTTGCGAAATCAATAAGTTTTTCATCTGCATCCTCCAATAGGAAAAATCATTCTTCCCATTAAACTTTTTGATCTCGTACTTTCCAACTTTAATTGTTTTGCTAGTTGGCATTATCTTTCGTTTGTATTAATAAATCCGCTTCTCTTAAGAAATTACCGAGCACCACCTCAAAACAGAAGCTACACCACTCCCAATCTGAATAACAGCTCTAATACCAATTGTTGGGGGCAAAGTCACACCCTCACGTCACGGAAACGATATAACACGAGAGAAAACCCTGACTTTTGTTTTCACAAAAGCTCAAGCCAACCTCTATGTTCCTGTTTCACAAAGGAAATAAGAACAGAAGTAAAATATCTCAACAAAGTGAGATATACAATCTTCCTCTCATCAGTTCTAGGACTGAATTGTCAAGGGAACCTACAAACAATAGCCAACACCCAGAAAATAGTAAAAACATGAGATTTACGTGGTTTGACAAACTTGCCTACATCCACGGGAAAGGGGAGAGGGATTCCACTATGAAGAGGACACCGATGACTTGTACAACCCACAAACACGTCCCAAAGAAGAAGCTTTTATTTTTACCCAAAAGAAATTGACCTCTTTCTTGTAAAATCTCTCCAAGCGCTCTCTTTTTCTCTCCTTAAAATTTCAGATCTAGATCTCTTTTAGCCGCCGTCTAAACCCTCTATTTCCTCCTCTAAAAAAACCCTAGAAGAAGACTCCTATTTATAAAAAAAATCCCAGCCCAAAAAATCCAAACAGAAAACTCGGGCTGTCTCGCGCGGGCCCCCCGTTCCCTGTTCACACCCGCCTTCAATGTATTAATTAACAATTCCCCTTCTGAATTATTTACATCCTGATACCCTGCGGTGTAGTGTAATCACATGGGTGTCTCTAAGGTTCGTGTATCTGCACGGATAACCCTGAGATTACTGACTGAAATTACACATGTAGCCCTAATGTAAGTAATCTTTGGATTACTCAAGGTTACCCGCATAAGTTCAGTCAGCAATCTTAAGGTTATCATTTTAGATAAACAGATTCTAGGGTCAACCATGTAACTGTGACATAGCACAAGGTACAATGATGTAAATAATCCTTTTTTTTTGTTCTGGTAATGATTCTTTTCCCATGGCTTTCTGTCACTAATGCTGCTTTTCCAAGGTTTCTCCTTAGATATCTTTTTGTCCCACATGCATATGTTTATCTCTCAGTATCTGAAACATTCTCATCAGAGTGTTTACCTTTGACTTTTTTCTTTTATTTTTGTACTCCATATTATCTACAGGCAGTTTTGTTGCTGATTTTTGTTACAAAACCACACGCCTTTTAGAAATGACTTTGACAATCATTTTCAACTTTTAGGCTTAAAAGATCGAATTATCGACCTTTTCCATGATACACTAACAGTACTTTCATTATTTAATTAAATATGTAAATATCTGGATTAATGCTTTTTGAGATAAAATCTATTAGTCATAACGAAGTTTTTGTTGAGTAACAATGACAAGAAAACATGTATGTTTGAAAATCACTTTGGTTTATTGCTCAAAAAGTTAATCATGGAAAATATTTACATGCTAAAACAATTAACAGAAAAATATAATGAAATAAACAAGATGTCTACGTATGCTTTTATTCATTTAGACAAATCTCGTAATAGGTTTCCAGGAAGATACAGAAAAATATTTACATGCTAAAACAATTAACAGAAAAATATAATGAAATAAACAAGATGTCTACGTATGCTTTTATTCATTTAGACAAATCTCGTAATAGGTTTCCAGGAAGATACAGAAATAGTATGGTAAGTTTTGCGTGCTTGCCTTCTGCTTGATTCAAAGCGCACAATCTTTTTGCTTCTAGGTTTTGCGTGCAAGAAAAACTCATTTAGCTTTCCTTCAAACTTTATGGTAGGACATATTTGGATGTACCCAGTGATATTACAATTGATGTTAATGGCAGGAGCTTCACATTGCATAAGGTAATTCTCTATGGACATTCTCTTTTTACAGTCTTTTTCTTGCTTTAAAAATTTTCTGATAATTTTCTAGCTAAAGCACGTGTTACTTTTCAACTGTTGATACTGGTTGAGCAGTCCCGCTGACGTACCATATCTGTATCGATTCAAAACACATTACTATGACATTGGACTTTTAGTTTCGTAACTCTGCATCTTCAATACATCTAGGATGTCATACATTTTTGGGTAATCAGTGAAATAACCAAATGTACCCATTTTGTCAGAGAATCCATGTGTTTGGTATGTTAGATTTCCTCTGCTGACAGCACCTGTCAGATGCTCGATGCAGCTAATTATTGCATGACATGTTTATTTTTATGGGAAATTTTAGCAATATACCATAACAGGTTCTTCTTTATATATGTTAACCTCTTTTTAACTTTTTCCATCCTTCTATACCGAGAATCTAAAATTTCCTAAGAGATGGGTATGCCAAATCAGACTTCTGGCAGAAAAAAACTCCGAAAAGAACTCCGAATTAAATGTAATGCTTTTAGCTATGAAATTATGATAAAGCTAGCCATGTATCACGTGTTTCCAGAGAACTGGTAGTCGTACTTGAAATTATAGTCCTGTACGCATGCATGTTTTTCTGTTTACACGAACTTTTCTTTGCAACTGAAAAACAATCCTTGCTTTTACTAAAAAATAGTTTTAATGATCTTGATTATTACAGTTTAATGCATGCAGTTTCCACTTATTTCTCGATGTGGTCGAATACGAAGATTAATATCAGAATGCAGAGATCCCAGCACCTCAAAGTTAGACTTTCCGAATTTACCCGGTGGCCCTGAGTCATTCGAGCTGGTTGCAAAATTTTGCTATGGCATAAACTTTGAGATAACAACTTCTAATGTCGCCCAATTATATTGTATATCTGATTATCTTGAAATGACAGAAGAATATGGGAAGGGAAATCTCACTTCTCGTTCAAAATCTTACCTTGATGATATTGTAATTAAAAGCCTTGAGATGTCTGTTGATGTCTTGCATCAATGTGAAGCCCTGCTTCCCCTTTGTGAAGAACTTAAAATAGTTGGAAAATGCGTCGATGCAATTTCTTCAAAGGCATGTGTCGAACAAATAGCCTCAAGTTTCTCACGCTTGGAATATAGTAATTCTGGAAGGCTTCATATGAACAAGCAAACAAAAGATTGTGGTGATTGGTGGATTGAAGATTTATCTGTACTTCGGATTGACATGTATCAGAGAGTTATAGAAGCTATGAAGGGTCGAGGAATTCGTCCTGAGAGCATTGGAGCGTCATTGGTGAATTATACAGAAAACTTATTGAAGAAGAAAATCATATTATGGAATACAAGCGATGAAAAATTGATAGTTGAAACTATTGCTTCTCTTCTGCCAGAAGAAAAACTTGTTGTGCCTATGAGTTTTATGTTCGGATTGTTGAGATCAGCTGTGATGCTTGATTGTGCACATTCTTGTAGACTAAGTCTCGAGAGGAGAATTGGGTCACAGTTGGATATGGCAACTCTTGATGATCTCTTGATACCTTCCTCTCAGAATCTAGGAGATACAATATTCGATGTTGACACTGTTCATAGAATACTTGTAATATTTTCTCAGCAAGATGATAGTGAGGAAGAGGGCTCTGTCTATGATTCTGATGGTCTTCAACCACCATCTCAAACTGCATTGGTCAAAGTAGGGAAGTTGGTGGATAGTTATCTTGCTGAAATTGCACCAGACGGTCACCTTACACTTGCCAGGTTTATTGCTATTGCAGATGCATTGCCGAGTTATGCACGTGTAACTGATGATGGATTGTATCGTGCAATTGATATCTACCTCAAAGTAAGTTTTCTTTATCTCTATCTACCTACCTACCTACCTAGTTAGCATGATACTTCATAACTCTAAAATTTATAGTTTCTTTTTAAGGTTAGTTGCACGTAGACCCATGTAATATCGTTGTTTTGAACTTACTGCCTTCATATTTTCTCTGACGCCAATAGACCCCTTGGTTTTTTTTGGGACTCTTTTACCATCAGATAGATTCCCCAATTTCGCCCTGGAACAGTATATGCCCAATTTTCACACAGGGTAAAAGAGTCAAAAAAAAAATTAACCCGGGGGTGTATCTGCAACAATGAAACTGCGGGGTGCTAAGCTCAAAACAAGGATGCTACTGGGGGCTCTATGTGCAATTAACTCTTCTTTTTATCCTTGATTATCTTACTTCTCCTGTCTTCCTCTCATTTTTGTTGCTATGAGTTCTTGAACAATTTTTTGCAGAGACCTTCTCAAAAACTTTTTTTTCCTTTTTGAGTAAACGATGGAAATCCCTCCATATTTCAATAAAAAGAAAGCACTGAAGTTAGGTACACCGAGTAAGTCACCTGCAAATTAAGAAAAAAAAAATACAAACTAAAGGCAGAGAGAGCAAAATCAAACCCTTAAGGATTAAACAAACTATGGATGGTAACTTCTCTACTGTCACAATCAGACACTGAAGACTGGGTTTTCCAACTCGGCAAAAATGTTGGTGGTATGTCGTGTTGTCTATTCGTGAGTACATACTAATTTTAACACCAAAAGGGTGCATACTATGTCTCATATTTTGATAAATTGAATGTTCGTGCAAATTAAGATGTATACCATCTATAACAATGCCATGAGAAGGTAATTAAATCTTATCCAAATCCCATGTTTCCATAATAGTGTTAAAACTCTAGAATAAAGAACCAGGATCACATTTTCTTATTTGCTAGTTTCTTAGTTTAGTACGCTAGAACATAAATGTTTCGAACTCGGTAGATATCCATCATTTCTGTATTAGATTTGAATATTGTGATTTCATTCTTCAGGCACATCAAGGATTGTCAGATTTGGAGAAGAGAAGACTCTGCAAGCTTATTGATTTCCAAAAGCTTTCAGAGGAAGCCAGTGCTCATGCTGCTCAAAACGACCGACTTCCCCTTCAAGCAATTGTCCAAGTCCTCTATATAGAACAGTTGAGACTTAGAGACTCTTTATCCTGTTCCAATCCTGACGATGACAAGAATCACAAAACAATGTCATCACTCTCTCCTCGAGATAACTATGCATCTTTGAGGAGAGAGAACCGCGAATTAAAGCTTGAGCTGGCGAGAATGAGGGTAAGACTCAATGATCTTGAGAAAGGGCATGCCTTCATGAAAAGGGACTTGGAAAAATCGGGCTCCCAAAAGCTTATAAATTCTATCTCGAGGAAGTTTGGAAGGTTCAGCCTCTTTGGCCGCAGTCCTTTCACTAGATCAAACTCGCCAACTCAAGGAGAAGATGGTAGATCTTAAACAAGGTGAACTATGCGTGTGTGATTTTTCTTCGGTATAGGATTGCCATTTGGGAACCAGAATGGACGTGTAATATCAGTCGATACTTGATACTGAGCTTGTGTGAGAATGCTTAATAAAATCAAATCTGTAAATTGTGGTATTGTTTTATGGTAAAAGTTGTTGCAGACTTATTTGACGATCACCATTCTCGTTGTATATGTCAGTGTGCATTATGTAGCCCTCTCCAGAGCATTAAATTGATTGTAGATAGGAAATTATTTTTGGATACTCTGCCTTTTCTGATCCTAATGATCGGAAAAGATGAGAAACATGACCGAATACATGGGAGTTTCCTCTCTTTTGAGGGTGACAAGAACTTGGTACGGATAGTTGTCCATCTTCTGTAGCCTTCGTAAATAATAATTCGTTGCATGGAGTATTTTTACCCGGCATGAGGGGAAATATGTCGACTTTATAATATTTTTAACAATGGGAAATTAATGTTTTATTGTGCAATTTTGCAATTTAACCACTGAAGAGTACTATGTTACGTGGACGTCTTCTGTTTCAGACAACTAGATGGTCAACAGCGCCTACACATCAGAGACAAGTGATGTCGGTAGTTATTTTTGTTGGATATTTTGTTCATGAAAAAACAATTTTGTCTCTGTGAATAGTCTCACATTTGAAAATGGAAGGAAGTCCAAGAGGTTTATATTGGTTCATATTTTATTGGGTCTTGAATAGTGTTCTGGTTTTTGTGGGCTTTGCATAACACACACACGTACGCGTGCGGCCCCGCCGTACCGCACACTTACACTTTTTTGGATCTCAGTATTTTTATTTTTCCGTTTTTATTCTGCGTGACTCGTTCATACGGATGCAAGTTGGCGCGGGGAGTTACGCGAATCCTATGTAACGTATGCGGATTCGAAGCAACGGCTCTTTGGCCTCCAACTCCTATATATATCGGGGTTCTCCTCCTCGGAAGACACAGTAAAAAACAACATCCTCTCTTCTTCTGCAAACGATTCTTCCTCCCTTTCTTTCTCAAAGTTTTGTTACCGTGTTCATTATTTTTCCGGGCAACCATCTTCGTCTGAGCAGAACCTCTACTACACTCGCCCGAGTACAGAGGCTGGCCGTTTCCGGGGGCTTTTACCGCTAGGGGGAGAGGATCGACTGCGTCAGGGCGATAGGCGGGTCCTCTATCTTATAGGGCAGTGAAATCACGACTGCACCCGTTCAGGCCTGGTGTTCTAACTTTTTAATTTTGGATTTATACTAATTTTTTTCTTTTTTGACAGCAATCTAGAAGATAGATTTTTTATTGCTATTAATTTAGATCTAAAATTAATTGCTTTTAATTATTACATAATTTTCTATTCATTCTGTGTTAAATTCGAATTTAAAAAAATTTACTGTTCATCGCGTTTACTGTTCACCCGTATTCATCTTGCTTCTGCTCATCAGTATTTTGTTTACAGTTAATTTTTTTTATTTTCTATTGCTGTTCATCAGAGAGTATTACTGTTTAACAAAATATATAATTTTAATTTCTTGCTGATTAATTGATGTTAATTAATTACCTCTAATTGCTTCATTTGTTTATATATTAGTTAATTGCTTTATTTAGTTTCTGTGAAAAATAAAGTTATTGTTCATCTGATATTTCTATTGTTTATCAGAAAAATTTCTTTGCTATTTATTATTAAAAATAAAATAAATTTTGCACTGCTGTATTAATTTTTTAAAAAATTATTTATTGCAAGCATTATCTTATTGCTACTTTACAAATCTAGTTCATATCCTAAGTCATAATCCTCTAAGTTACTAGTTGAGTGGTATTGACAAAGCATTTATTCCTATCAGATACTAAATACCTAGACTAGTAAACTCAAATTGGACTTATGGCTAAGCCTGATCATTCCAAGAGTGTCAAACCTAAGAAGTTCATCAGTGTTAACTACAAACAGTGAGCTAATCATATGAGATACTGTCTCATAATCCTAGGTCTCCTTTCATCCATTGTCACTCCCGATTCTTCATCCAGTGGATATCAACCCACCAATTCTCCTGTTTATGGTCCACAACCTGAATCATCTCCTTCCACTTCTGGTTCTGGTGCTAGCTCCTTCTCTAGCTCTATGAAACCGGAAAAAATCAATTATCATTGTTGTCATAGGATTCTTAGTGCACTTGGGGACAACCTCTATGACATTTATTATGATTTCAAAAATGCTAAGGACCTATGGAATGCTCTTAAAGCAGAATATGGCTGTGATGATACCGGAATTCTGCGTTTCACTTCCTCTTCCTTCAATAAGTTCATGATGGTTGATGACAAATCCATTAATGAACAAATTCATGAATTCCAAGATTTCCTCCATCACCTCCAATAAAAAGGAAACACATTTACTGATGACTATAAAGTTTCTTGGTTGATTGATAAACCCCCCCCATCCTGGTCTAGATTTGCTAGAGATCTCCGGCACAAGCAAGGAGAGCTAACCTTAATTGAAGCCCTCAAGGCTATTCGTATTGAAGACTAGTATAGGCAAAATTCCAAAATCATGTCTGAATCAAAAGCTAAAGTGAACTTGGTAGAGGATAAGCCTAAATCTAGGAATTTCAAACCGAAAGGAAAGAAATTCAAGAAAAACCATCAATCCTTCAACAAATCTTTTTCCAAATCCAATCCCAACTCTTCCAGCCATAAGTCTGATGGAAAGTTCTGCTATGTCTGTGGTAGAACCAACCACCTGGCTTCCAACTATTTCTTTCGGAAGAAGGAACCGACTAAATCTGCTCCTAAAGGAAATGGATCCAACAAAGTTAATATGATTGAAGAGAATCCAACTTCCTTCAGGTTAGCCTCTTCGTCCTGTCTTGTGAATTCCCTTACTTCTTCCACTGACTGGTACTTGGATTCCGAAGCTAATATTCATGTTTGTAATGATCGCTCTTGGTTTTTAACTTATCAGGAATCATGTGGAGGAAGCATAAGCTTAGCAGATGACTCTACCAAATAAATAATTGGAAGTGGATGTATAGAGCTCACCATGACCTCTGGGAAAACTCTAAATCTGTAAAGCGTCCATCATGTTCCTTCTCTCTGTCGCAATTTGATCAATGAATCTCTTCTCCTTAGAGCTGGCTTTAGGATTGTCAAGGAATCAAATAAATTTATGATTACAAAAAATAATGTATTTATTGGAAAATGTTTTATCTGTAATGGTCTTTTCAAACTCAATGCAAATAATTCCAGTTCTAATAAAATTTATGAGTCTTCTGTTGCACAAATTGTTGAGTCTTTTGATGTCTGGTATGGACGACTAGGACACATCAATTTCCAAACCTTGCAAAGAATAATCAAATTGAATCTTATTCCTAAATCCTCTCATGATCCCTCATCTAAGTGTGAGATATGTGTTCAAGGGGAATCTTATTCCTAAATCCTCTCATGATCCCTCATCTAAGTGTGAGATATGTGTTCAAGGGAAACACACTAAAAAACCCTTCAAGTCTATAACTAGAGAAACACACTAAAAAACCCTTCAAGTCTATAACTAGAAACTCCGAACCTCTCGAATTAATTCATAGTGATATGTGTGACTCAAACTGAGTTCTCACCCAAGGGGGTAGGAGATATTTTTTGATATTTATAGACGATCGCTTCAGATATTATTACACCTATCTTCTCAGAACTAAAAATGAAGTCTTAGATAGGTTTAAGGTGTATAAAGCTGAATCTGAGAACCAACTTGATAGAAAGATCAAGATTCTAAGATCTGATCGTGGGAAGAGTATATCTCAAATGATATGACTGAATATTGCCAAGAACATGGAATTATTCATGAGGTTACTGCTCTCATACACAACAGTCTAATAGGGTAGCTGAACAAAAGAACAGAACCCTAATGGATATGGTAAACTGTATGTTACTCAGTTCAGGAGTACCTAAAAATCTCTAGGGTAAAGCTCTTCTTTCTACTTGCTTCATTCTCAATAGGATTCCCCAAAAAAATTCTTATACAACTCCTTATGAATATTGGAAAGGGAGATCTCCTAGCTTGAACTTCTTCTGGGTTTGGGGTTGCTTGGCTAAGGTAGTTAATCCTGAACCTAAGAAGAGGGAAATTGGTTCTAAGACTGTGGATGATGCTTTTATTGGATATGCACTAGATAGCAATGTTAATAAATTTTTGGTCATTAACTCTAAAATCAGTAACATATCCAATAACACTATCATTGAAGGAAGAGATGCAGTCTTCTTTGAAAATATCTTTTCTTTCAAATCCAAAATCTCAGAAAATCCTAAAACATCTATTCCTTCTGATCTAAAATCATCTAGTTCTTCTCGGCCTTTTGACATTGAACCTCGAAGAAGCAAAAGAGGTAGAATTCAGAAGGATTTTGAAGAAGACTTTTTTACCTTTCTTATTGAAGGTGGTCCAAGCTCATTCCAAGAAGCAATGGTTCACCTAAATCTTCTTTCTGGAAAGAAGTCATTAATAATGAGATTAAATCTATCATAAAAAACCATACTTGGATACTCACTGACTTACCTCCAAGCTGTAAACTTATTGGTTGTAAGTGGATATTCAAGAAGAAACTTAGAGCTGATGGTTCCATAGATAAATTTAAAGCTAGATTAATAGCTAAAGGCTATACTCAGCAAAAATACATTGATTATTTTAATATCTATTCTCTTGTAGCCTTAATCTCCACTATCCGAGTATTACTAGTATTTGCTACTATCCATAAGCTGATCATACATCAGATGGATATCAAGACTGTTTTCCTGAATGGTGATTTAGATGAAAAGATCTATATGCACCAACCTGAAGGATTCATTGCCAAGGGTCAGGAAAACAAAGTCTGTAAACTTGTTAAATCTATGTATGGTCTTAAACAAGATCCTAAACAATGGCACCAAAATTTTGACAAAGTCATTGCATAATATGGTTTCACTGTGAATGAACATGACAAGTGTGTTTACAATAAAGTGATAAACAATGACTATGTCATCCTCTATCTCTATGTTGATGATATCCTCATCTTTGGAACAACTCTTGAATTAATCTTAAAGGTTAAGGATTATCTGTCCAAGAACTTTGACATAAAAGACTTAGATCTTGCTAATATGATAATTGGAATGAAAATCACTAGAGACACTAGAGGAATATCTTTGAGTCTTTC